GAGGTATCTTATGGTTTTTGGTGCTATTGTAAATGGAATCATTTCTCTCATTTCTCTTTCTACAGTTGCATTGTTAGTGTATAAGAAAGCAAACAATTTCTGTGCATTGATTTTGTATCCTGCTACATTCCTGAATTGCTGTATGAGTTCTAATAATTTGGGGGTGGAGTCTTTTGGAGTTTCCACATAAAGTATCATGTCATCTGCGAAGAGAGAGAGTTTGACTTCTTCTTTGCCAATTTGAATACCTTTCATTTCTTTTTGTTGTCTGATTCAGTTTTCAGTTTCTTGTAAAACTAAACATACTCTTACCATACAATCCACTGTTATATGTTTCTTGGTATACACAAAAGGATTGAAAATTTACATTCACACAAAAACCTGCTCACAAATGTTTATATCAGCTTTATTCATAATTGCCCAAGTTTGGATGAGACCAAGATGTACTTTAGTATGTCAATGGTTAAACTGTGGTACATCCAGACATTGGGATATTATCCAGCACACACCTGTACACAAAAGCTATCCAGCCAAGAAAATACATGGAAGAAACTTAAGTGTACATTACTATGTGAAAGAAGCCAATGCTAAATAATTTCACCTATATTATATTTATATATGACATTCTGGGAAAAGCAAAGCTATGGAGATGGTAAAAAGATCAGTGGTTGCCAGGGGTTAGAGGAGGGCGGGGGGAGCAGAGAGGATTTTAGGACAGTAAATTACTCTTTATGAAACTACAATGGCACTTGATCATTTATACATGATCATGTCATTATAAATTTGTCCAGTCCCATAGAATGTACAACACCAAGAGTGACTCTTGTAATAACATGTCAGTGTCAATGTAGGTTTATCCGTGGCTCAAATGTACCATTCTGGTCAGAATGTTGATAATCAAGGAGGCTATGCATGTGTTGGAGCAGGTGGTATATGCGAAATTTTGGTACTCTTTGCACAATTTTGCTGTGAACCTAAAACTACTCTAAAAAATAGTCAATAAAAAAAAAAGAAGAAAGGAACTTTCTTGTATGTTGGCGCCCACTGAATATAATCCATACTATATAGATTATAAAACATATTCACACAGAAAATTTTATTTTCCCTTATGATAAACCAATTAAGCATAAAGTACAGATGTTATTAACCATTTCCTTCACTTGTAATTGCTCTACATTTATGCTGTTGTTAACCAGTCTTTCTATTACTGTTAAATGTTAACTTTTGGCAAACCTTTGACTGCATAATAAATGCATACAAATGGATGGATTGATAATTAGCTGAAAACTTATAGCTTGATCACACTACTAAAATTATAATAAGAACAATAGTTAACATGTATTGACTATGCAGTAAAAATTGTGCTAAATGCTCAATATGATCTCATTTATTTTTCTTAACAACTATGTATAGGTTATATAAGTATTTGTATTTTCACATAAGGAAACTGAAGTATAGAAACATCAAGTAATTTACAGAAAGCTACACAGTAAGCAGTTAGAACCAGGGTTTGAAACAATGTGCTCATTCCACTATGCTTCTAAATACCATAATATAATGTCACCCTGTTTGCAAAAATAGTCATTAAATATTATTGAAAACATGATAATTTGCTAAGTATTCTAAATCAGACACTGTCTAACCTTTTAATGGTTTATAGCCCAAAATGCCCATTGCGCAAATGAAGAACAACCTGTAGGTGGAGTTTGTATTGGCCTAAATAGCTTGTTTTACATGACCGTATGAAACTAAATAATTGCAATGATTTAAATTCCACTGACTTATATCTCCCCTGCTATTGTAATAGACTAACAACCTACAGGGTCCTCTTTTCACTTATCACTACTTCCAGGAATCCCTAAGGGTGTTAAATATGTTCATTAAACCAATCTTCTCCCCTCAGATATTGGCAGTTGTGATGGCTAATTTTATGTGTCAACTTTGAGAGTGTTTTTGAATGAAATTAACATTTACATTTGTGAACATTGGGTAAAGCAGAATGCCCTCCATAGTGTAGGTAGGCCTTTTCAGAAGGCCTGAATAGAACAAAAAGACTGGTTTCCCTAAGCAGAAGAAAATTCTCCAGTATGTTGCCTTTGGATTTCATCTGCACCATCAGCTCTCCTGGGTCTGCAGCCTGCCTTCCC